TGATTTCCTACAGCACACAACAGAGAGACAGCAAATGCAGGTCACTCACTCAGGAATGGGGGCAGCAGAGAAATGGGGCAGGGACTACAGGGTGGTGTTCCTCTCTTTCTTTGTCTGTCTTTCTCTCTCCTCTCTCTCTCTCCTCTCTCTCTCTCTTTCTTTCTACCCCCTCCCCCTTTTCTCCTGCAGGGAATTCCAATCATGTATGCATTTTATGAAGCAATTGATTGGGGAGAAAAAAACCACATGAAGTCCTCTCTCATCCACTAACTTCTGCTTTTCCAACTTTCTTTTGCAATGAAGTACAGGGAGACAAGGGTTTACAACTCCTGCTTCAGACCTGTTGGCCTCAAGATAGACCTGCATTCAGTTGGCCCTGACAAGTCCCTTAGGTAGGTCAGAGCTGAGGGTCTATGTACAATTTCCAGCATCACCATGGAAACGTCTTGCTATTTTTTGAGTATGTCGCCTCCAAACTTCATGTGTTGGAAACTTAATCCCCAGTGCAGCAGTGTTGGGAAGGTGGGATATTTTAGGAAATGTTTAGACATGAGCACTGCACTACTATAAAAGGCTTGCAGGAGTCGGTTCTCTGTCCTGCTCTTCTGCCATGTGAGGACGGAGCATTCAAGGTATTACCTTGGAAGCAAAGAGACTGGGCTCTCACGTGCCAGTGCCTTGAGCTTGGCCCTCCAAGCCTTGAAGAGCTGTGAGAAATAAGTTTCTGCTCTTTGTAAATTATGCAGTCCAAGGTATTTTGTTTTAACAGCAGGAACAAAGATATCCCCCTATTGTGGGGTGCCTACACTGAACTTCATCCGAGTTATCCAGGTGTACCTCCCTAGCCATGTGAGCAAGACCACAGCTGGGCAGCAGAAGCACCCACACCCTGTGGCAGCAGGAGTGAGATCAGCACTGGGGCCACTCCACGGGAAACAGCTTCTGGCCCCAGCCATGGAGTCCTCCAGTCTCAGCCCATGGGGAAGGGAAGAGAAGCTGCACGGAGCTTGCGGGCCTACGTAAGCGTTCTGTGAATGCACTACATTTGTTTTGTTACAAGAACACGGCCCTTGAGAGGCCTTCTTGCAAAAGACAAAGGACTAAAGCCATTTTTCAAATAGTAAACAGAAATGAGATTGATTTTATAAGACATGGTTACAAATCAATTGATGCAAGTTCCTTTAACAAATATTTATAGGGCACCTATTATAGATCAAGCATTGTGGTAGCCACTAGATAAAGGGGACTGAGTTGTACTAAACATGGTTCCTGCCTCCCAGGAACCCACAGAAGCAGGGATGGAGGAAGTCAGGCACATACACAGCTGAAACTGCTCAGCCCTGTGCTTAGCATCCTGTGAGTATTCAGAAATACTAGTGGCTACAATGAGATAGTGATGATGACTGCAATGAGATAAGGGCAACCAGACAAATGGATGAGATTTTCTGGCAGCATAGAAGGTAAATGACCACATCTATTGGGGTGGTCAGGGAAGGGCTCATGGGTGCTGGGATCCTCATGCTGGTGGGCAGACAAAGAGACAAGATACAGAGGGCCAGGAGAATGTCTGGGCAGATTGCAAAGGGCCTACCAGTTCTCTGGGGAGTCAGAGGCCCTTCTGGAGGACTGCAGAATACACCAACGACCCAGAATCCTGGCCCAAGGACCAGGCCAGTTCACATTAAAGCTTGCACTGGCACCACTGCTATGAGCAATCTTCAAAAAAAGCTACATTGTTGTTTTTGCCCAAGCAAGGGTCCCTTCCCATTTTAACATCACATATTTGAAGGGAATATCAGAGATGAATATTAATTGACTGCAAAGAAAAATTCTTATGCAATGATCGGTAACAATGTCCACCATAAGTCTTACCAATTCCTTGGACTTCTCCTGATGGGAAACCATAGAACAACTTCAAATGGCATTTTGCCAGAGTCCAGGGGATTTCCAAATCCATCTGCACTCTGGTTCCATAAATGAAAAGGGAACACAAATTAGAGGTGAAGTGTTGGGTATGTGATGGTTTGTATTTCAGTTCCACGGATACCTGACGCCAGGCTGGCGTTGAGGGTGGCCTGTGGTTCTCAGGCTGTGGAGTGTGCCTCTAGTACTTACTTTTGTGTGGCTCCAAATCTGAGGCTGGCTTGCCCAAGCATGCACAAGCCCCTTCTTGGGAGAAAAATAAGTGATCTCGATTCAACAGGTGGATTCTGTTTGAGCTCCTTAGGCAGGTGTGAAGGTCACTGGGGCCTGTTCTGACTCCATAAGCAAGAGCAGCTGTCCTCCAAGAGCCTGACCTCATAAAAGGACAGGTGTGACAGGAGGCAGGCCTCTCCTTCCCTCTTCCTTCTCTTCCACTCATTAATCTTCCTGGCTTTTTCCAACTTCCTACATTCCCAGAAGACAATACATCTGATGTACAGGCTCAGAGCTTCTTTTGTTTGATTGGGCTCTGGTTTTGTTTCTGATACACTTTCCTCTGCAGGAAGAAGTCTAACTCCACCAATTTCTTCTAGGGAGCAATCGAGTGATGTCCATCAATGTGCATTTAGCACAGCAAGAGGGCTGCAGACACGGAGCCCAGGCCACAGGCTGTCCAGCCTGCCCCACCACACTGATTACAACACAGAGCTTCTGTCTTCCAGCTCTACGAGAATGATGGTGCCAAGGAGATGGGTGGCCAGGCAAGCAGAGCCACATGGAAGGCATGCCCTGTGCACCCCGCAGAGGCCACTTCAGGGCCTGGCTCTGGCTGCTGCTGCAACCATATCACAAATACACATGTGAGTAGACAGAGTCCTTAAGTTGAAAGAGACAGAACTGCAAGACAGGACCACTTCATGGAGGACCTGAGTATTCTGCTCAAGAAAGTAGAGTAGTACCAGACCTAACATGCTGGACTTGGTTATTGGAAACCAGTGAAGAGCCCATGTGTAAGCTGACTCGGTTGGACTCCCAAGCCCACGGCCTTCACTGTACCCCTAGTCAAGAGGAAGACGAGCTTGGTCACAGGCAGTTATGCCCTGCTGCTGACTTGTGCTGACTTGTGAGAGCTGTTGGTTAAATTTTCAGCTATTTTTAGAGCTGGATGTGAAAAAAGCCATCATTAAAAGTAATTTTCAATTAAATAAATTAAATCAAGTGTAATAAATATCCCAAACTCATTACATCCTAGTTATTTGACTACATTTTCCTCTCATCTCTGCTCTAGGTCATTTAGTGTCCATCATACTGCACAGGCGAGATGCTGTCTGACGTTGTGATTCTAGGCATCTCTTCCCAGCCCTGCACCAGTGACATCATGTGGGTGGCCTGAAATCAGCCACGGTGGGAGTATTTATACCACAGAAATTGGCAAATGCTACAGGTAAGGGCTTTTTTTCCTGGACAGTTTTTGTTACATGTTTACCGGCCAGCACACTGTTGTCCCGGACCCTAGTGAGGGCTGCCTACATGACCTGCAGGAACTAGAAAGACGTGGAAATCTTACACTGGGGAGTGACATGGTTATTCTGTGTTTTTGAGCTGCACCCTGGCTGTAGTATGGCAGAATCAGCCAGCAGTCAATGGTACCACATCAGAGGATAAACAGGCAGACCCTGGGACCCCAAAAGCCACTAGGGTTGGTAGCCAGAGAGTAGAAAGGGCAGGGTTTCTGTTGAACTGGGAAGCTCTAAAGGAAAACGAGAAGCAAAAGCTGGCCTTGAGGTTTTAAGCCTCAGAGATGGGCAGATGCCAATGTTATCAGCCAAGTTAGAAGCCTCAGGAGGCTTAAAGCCAGGGCCAGGACTGAAACAAGGATAGGCTGCTTTGGGCTGTTTTGAAGCAGAAGAAACTGGTGGTGACCATGACCTTGAACATGGGAAACAGGCTGAGATTGAAGGACAGAGGCTCACATGCTTAGCTAGTGGGTCATTTCTGTGGCCAGTAGTTTTCACAGTTTTACAAGCCTGTCACTCCCAGGCTAGCTGTGCCACACCCAGAAGGCAGGAGGCAACTGGGTCCACCAGGGCAGCACTTGCAGCCTCAGCAAGGAGCCTCTGGATCTGTGGCCAGCACGGACCAGACAGGTATACTGTGGCAGGGTGGGGAGAAGTGGAGATGCAATGAGAACCCCAGCACAGGACCTCTGGGAGGAGGATGTGGGAGGAGAAGGCTGCCCAGGTGAGGGCTCAGCGTGGACTCAGGTTCTACCACCTCCCCATGAATTGTGCCTGGCCAGCCACTGACTTTGGCCACCCTGAGAGAGATGAGGTCAGCTTCTGACTCTGGCCCAGGACTGGGGAAGCAGAATATGCCTGGGTCCAGAAGCGGGGAGACAGCAGGAGAGACCACACATGTGTGGGCACACCTGCCAGCACTGGGACAGGGTCTAAGTAGGGTAGTGTGGGAGCCTGGGGGGAGTTCCAACCAAGAAAATGGGTGACCCCAAGGCAGAGACCTGTTGTCCAGTTGCAGCTGCTCAGAGACCATTTGCCCTGGTTTGGAGTAGGAAGGGCCTTCATGTGCATGGGGTTCCCACGTGCCCCCCAGGCAGTCTGAGGCGTTGGAGAACACAGGGCCAGAGCAGGAGGACTGAGCAGTGTTCTGGACCTGCTCCTTACCAGCTTGGGGGCCAGCCTCAGACAAAGTGTGCCATTCACTTCTTCATTCAGTGCAAATATCTTCTGTGTGCCAGGCCCTGAGAACCCTGGGGTGAGTGGCCCCACAAGGTCCCTACCCTGAGAGAATGCACACCCCAGTGTAGTGAGACAGACAATGAACAGGGATGCGAGTTAGAACACACAGGGATGTCTATGACTCATTTAGTCATCTATAAAATGGGACCAGTGACACCACCAGCCCTACCCACACAACAGGACCTGAGACATCGCAGATGGGACCTGCTGGAACTCAAGGGAAATGCCATGAACTCACCCACAGTTGACTTTGCTCTTTTTTTCTCTCTTATAATAAAGTGTACATAACATAAAATTTATAATTCTAACGATTTTTTTTCTGTTGTAAATTTGCATTTAATATTTCACAATTCCTGTAAGAGATGCTAGTCGGAAGGGAAACTCTCAAGTTTAAATCCCCACACTTACTTCCTGCTCATCAGTCACCTTCGCTATGTGAGATTAATTCAGTAGCTGGTCCAGAATGCACAGCTTGGGAACACAGAGGCCCCCACCTCCCAAGCCTCGCGTGGACATTTCCCACTCCCGTAACTGAATGTGCTGACTCATGCTGATGGCTGCATTTGTCCAGGTGGCAAATACAGACATGCTACATGGCCTCCTTCAAACAAGTTCCTCGTGTTAGGGGCAAAGGTCACAACCAAACTCTGCCACTGACAGCCAGTGCCTTGGCCTGGATCCTCTCTGCTGTGAATGCAGGCCTACCCCTCCTCAGTCCAGCCTCCTCTAATACATCAGCTTGGCCACTAACTTTTCAGACGTCTGAGGACAGGGCAAGGGTTGAAGACAGGGCTTTGAAGTCTGCAATCAAGCCTGAGTTACCTTCCTGACTGGTGAAGAGAATGCATTCCTTTGGCTTCCTACACCGGGATAAGCTTACCACATTTTTTTTTCAGCACGGAAGCACAAACAGACCTAGTGATCAGTTTGCTTTTAGAAAATTTTTTTTTTGTAGAGTCGTTAGGTTCTTCAGATTCATCTAGATCAGAGGGTTGGCAAACGTGTGTGGGCCAATCTAGCCTGCAACCTGTATTTGACTTGTGAGCTAAAAATGGTCCTTACATTTTTAAATGGTTGAAAAGACTAGTGACACATGGAAATCAAACATCAGTGTCCATCAATAAAGCTCTCCTGGTACCCAGCCACACTTATTACGTGCTCAGGGTTGCTTTTGTGCCACAAGGAAGACTGACCAGGTGTCACAACCTGAAAGGTGGCCAACTTCTGGTTTATACCAATTTCTTCGTTTTACAGGCGAGAGAACTTAAGTCCACACAGGTTATAAGATTTATCCCAAATTGCACAGCTAGACTTAGCAGCTGCAGACTGAACTCTGACTCAGGTTCTTCCATTTGCCAAGCCTGAGACCTTCTCTTTGGCTAACCAACCCTCTCTGCACCATCTTGTCTCCTGACTTCCACCCTCACTACTCACAGACCATCACGACACAGAGGCGGCCAAGTTCTTCTTTTAGTAATTCACCAGCTCCATGCAGGGACGTCACAGGGCTGCCCTCCATGAGTAGAGGAGGAGGGCTGCCTGGCAGAGTGCTTCACACTCCAGGTTAGCCAGAAAGAGCATCTTCATTTTTGTTTCCACGCAACACTTCGCTGTGAGCCTGTTGGCCAACAAAGTGGCAGCCAACTGTTAGAGGAGCCAGCCAACCATCTTGTCTAACTTCCGATTCTTCAGGGGTAGAATATGTTCACCCCAGAGGCTTAGATGAAGCACATTAGCGGCTACTCAGGCAGATGGTCTCTTGCTGGCCTCTCGCTGGAGCAGTGTCCTCACCAGTTGTCTAGCGTCTGGAGGCACCAGCTCGAGCAGTGCAGGTAGTTGAGCCTCTTGATAACTGTGGCTTTCAAGGTGGGCCTTATCCTGGCTCTAGAAGGGATCGACAAGCCCGAAGATTTCATAGGCAATGGCTCCCACTGCCCAGGCATCAGCCTTGCGGTAGTCAATCACTGCCCTGGGCCAGGATGGGCTGTGGACACCTCCAGGGCCATCAGGCAGCCGTTTCAGCCCCGATCCACACACCAGCTGCTGAAGGGCAAATGCAGGCCGATGTTCTCATCAACCAGGCAGCAGCCAAAATCTGTGATCACCAGCCAGGGGCAGCCATCTGGGTCCAGCTCCACGAGGATGTTGTCAGATTTCAAGTCTCTGTGTGCAATGCCCTGTTGAACCAGATGGTCCACGCCTTCTAGCAGCTGCAGCACCATCATGGTGGCCAGGCAGGGGCTGGGTGTGTTCATGCGAAGGTACTGGAGCAGGGTACAGGGATAGTTCTTCATGACGAGGAACAGCGTCCAGCCATGGCTCAGGCCTTCAGGGTGGAGATGTGGGGCAGCACATCAGGGTAGTCGACCAGGGCCCCTGGCAGCAGCAGCACAGAAGAGGTGAAGGCGGGGAGAACCCTGGTGATACTAGGGTGAAGGGCTAGTTGCTTGGGACCTCTCTTGGATTTTCTGTAAGCAACTGCTCCATACACCCCGGCCAAGGCCACTAGGCTCGCTGGGACCAGCTCCTGGCTCATTGTGTTCAAGATGGCTACACTGGAGGAACCTGCCGAGATGTTCCACATCATCTTGATGGCCAAGGGGAAGGCAGGGGCCCCCGGAGCTCGCTCCTGCTCTTCTCCAGGTGCACTGGTACCTGGGCCTCTCCCTGGAAGCAGCCTGGTGCTCTTGGTCACCTCCAGGTTCTGGGGCAGTGTAGGCGTGGTGGCTTCATGCACAGCGGCACTGCAGCCCTTGCCAATGGACTGCCCTATCAGTTACTCCTCCAGCCGAAAGCCTTGCCAGCGTCTGGTGTCCAACGGATCAGACCCTAGCTTGCTTTTCTCGGTAAAACTTGCCTGGATCTCCTGACAGGCCGAGGCCGCCCGCCGGCTCTCCTCCTGCTTCTCCTCGATGAGGCCCACCCCTAGCCCAAGGCCAGAAAGAGTGCCCGGCCACAAGGGCCCGCACCGTGAACTGCCGCTGCAGCCGCGCCGCCAGCCCGGCCACAAACTGGAGGAAGAAGCCGGAGCGGTTGGGGAGCCTGAGCCCGACCCTGCGAGGCTCCGCGCCCGGTCCCGCGGCCCAGCCCAGACGCTCCCCGCGGACCCAGCCCGCCGCAGGCCCGGCCAGGCTTGCCGGTGAAGCGCAGCAGCAGCGCTCCACCCAACTGCAGGCCGCAGCCCAGCGTCTGTCGCACCGCCACGGTGGTGCCGCGGCCCGCTACACCCAGCGCCACCGCCGCCGCCGCCGCCGGCGTCTGCCCGCTGGTCGCAACAAACTTCAGGGGCAGTCAATTCTTTTTTTTTTTTTAGAGAAAAAGAAAGAAGAGAAGGACAGAAAGGGAAAAAAAGGAGTGAAGGAGAGGAAGAAAAGGAGAGAGAGCGGGAATGTTGCTTTATTCTAAAAATGGGTACTGAAAACCTCTTTTATGCCAATAATTGTGTTTAATAATGGCCGATCAATATTTTATTTAAGCCTATGAGTAGGTGTGATGTGGTACGTATATTCTGTGTATTTAAAGTGGAGAGCCCTATAAATGTTTATTAAGTTTAATTGTTCCGGATCTGAGTTCAAGTCCTGGATATCCTTATTAATTTTCTGTCTCGTTGATCTATCTAATATTGTTGTTGAAATCTCCCACTATTATCGTGTGGGAGTCTAGGGAGTCTAAGTCTCTTTATAGGTCTTATGTATCTGGGTGTTAGGATCGTTAGCTCTTCCTGTTGCATTGATCCTTTTACCACTATATCTTTGTTGCTTTAAAATCTATTTTATCAGAGGCGAGAATTGCAACTCCTGCTTTTTACTTATTTATTTATTTTTGCTCTCCATTTGGTTGGTAAATCTTTCTCCATCCCTTTGTTTTGAGTCTTCGTGTACCCTTGCATGTGAAATGGGTCTAGATGTAGCATACCGTTGGGTTTTGGCTGTATCTTTTGATTGGGGGATTTAGTCGATTTAAATTTAGGATTACTGGCCATTTGATGTTAACTGGCTGTTTTGTCCATTTTTTGATGTAAATTCTTCATTATGTTGATACTCTTTACTTTTTGGTATATTTTTAGAAAGGCTAATACTGGTTGTTCCTTTCTATGTGTAATGCTTCTTTCAGAAGCTCTTGTAAAGCAAGATTGGTGGTAATAAAATCTCTGAGTACTTGCTTTTTCATAAAAGATTTTATTTTTCCTTCAGTTGTGAAGCTTAGTTTGGCTGGATATGAAATTCTGGGCTGAAAGTTCTTTTCTTTAAGAATGTTGAATATTGACCCCCACTCTCTTCTGGCTTGTAGGGTTTCTGCTGAGAGATCTGCTGTAAGTCTGATAGGCTTCCCTTTGTGGGTAACCCGACCTTTCTCTCTGGCTGCCCTTAGTATTTTCTCCTTCATTTCAACCCTGGTGAATCTAACAATTATGTGCCTTGGGGTTGCTCTTCTTGAGGGGCAGTCAATTCTAATGATTTTTAAGTGACATTAGGGACATCTACAAGGTCGTGCAATTACACCATCGTCCACCTCTGGAACTGCCTTAGCCTCCCCTGCAGAAACTGTCCCCATTAAACAACAACTCCCCATCCTCCCTACCGCAGGTCCCGGCAGCCTCTATCTGACTTTCTGTCCCTAAGAATCTGCCTATTGTAGGTAGCTTCATATCAGTGTGAACATATCATACTGCATTTGTCCTTTTGCGTATGACTTATTTCAGTTACCTTCACCTAGAAGGGGATTGCTGGATCCCACAACAATTTTGTTTAGTGTTTAACTTCTTTTATTTTTAATTTTTATGGATACATCAGGGCTGTACATATTTATGTGGTACATGTACTACTTTGATGCATGCATACAATCTGTAATGACCAAATCTGGGTAACTGGGATATCCATCACCCCAAACCTTTGCGTTGGGAATTTTTTTTTTTTTTTTTTTGAGATGGAGTTTCGCTCTTGTTACCCAGGCTGGAGTGCAATGGCATGATCTCGGCTCACCACAACCTCCGCCTCCTGGGTTCAGGCAATTCTCCTGCCTCAGCCTCCTGAGTAGCTGGGATTACAGGCACGCGCCACCATGCCCAGCTAATTTTTTTTGTGTTTCTAATAGAGACGGGGTTTCACCATGTTGACCAGGATGGTCTCGATCTCTTGACCTTGTGATCCGCCCGCCTCAGCCTCCCAAAGTGCTGGGATTACAGGCGCGTTGGGAATATTACAAATCTTCTCTATTAGCTATTTTGAAATATATAATAAATTATGGTACACTAAAGTCACCCTACTGTGCTATGAAACACTAGAACGTATTCCTTCCACCTCTCTGCACTTTTAAACCATTGACTGATCCCTCTTCATCTCTCCTGCCTGCTATTTCCATGGTCTCTGGTGTCTGCCATTCTACTCTTTACCTCCACCAGATCAATGTTTTTAGCTCCCACATATGAGTGAGAACATGCAATATTTGTCTTTCTATGGCTAGCTTATTTTGCTTACATGTTTGCCTTTTGAATAACTGCCGTGCTATTTTCCACAATGGCTGTGCCATTTTCCTTTCCCACCAGCAATGCACCGGGGCTCCAGTTTCTCCACGACCTCACTCTCTCTTGCTTTTCCCATTCTTCTGGTAGCAGCCATCCTAATGCATGACTGGCCTTTGCTCTTTTCTCTGCATATTGTCAGATCCCATCCCACACACGTCCATCTTCCACCTATGTTGCTCTATAGTGTTCATTTATGGTGCACTATTTCTGCACTAGGCACTGTTTCTGTACTGTTCACCAGCCTGTGTATCCTACACTTTAAGGTCAATCCAAGGCATTGCCAAAGGTAATCTCAACAAATTTGTAACTGTCTGTATGTGTCTTTCCTTAGAAATAGAGGTGACGGGGGGAGTTACCAGCCTGTCTAGAAAGCTTGGTAGTATGTCACTCTCAGACTAGGGATTCTGAGAGTCAGTCCCAGCACTATCCTCCTGCCAATCTCTCCTGTCCCAATCTGCCTCTCCTGTGTACCCCAGAAGACGAGGCACAAACCAGTGACAGGGAGGACAGTAAGGCCCACAGCAATGCACAGGCTTTGCTCTCCTATTTATGGACCACTGTTCATTTTCAAAATAATTGGCACCAACACGAATGGATAAAGAACGAAAATAACACAGGGCCCTGTAAGCTGTGCCTGGCCAGACTCGCCTGGTCCAATCCAATCCTCCACATATGTTAACCTCAAATAATAAATAACCCAAGCCCTAGAGCAAGACACACTCACGAGTATAATTCATACCTCAAAATTCAAGCAAGTGTCAAACAGCAGCCAACACTATGGATATAAATTCCAGCTTGTTCATATGTTGACATTCTGAAGTCTAACAAAAGTGAACAAGAAGGTGTTTTTCCTGGCTAACAAGTTTCATGCCTTCAAATCTAGAACTTTTATAGAGGTGTGCTCTTGGGAACCTCAGCAAGAGCTAAGAGCTTGGGAGAAGATGCCCATGTCCTTGTATGGTGATGATCGTTTCCCTTGTTCAGCAAGTTTTCACCTCATTTTACAATCTCAGGGTGTCCAAGCTGGAAGGATGTTTGTGATCCTCACTGTACAGATGTGATCACTAAGTCCCAGGGGGTTGATCCGAGGTGAGGAGGCCCCACATCTGTCACTCCCAGGCCTGCAAGATGTATTAAGGGCAGCACCTGCCATTCCTAAAATGGGAGAGTTAATTTTGAGGTAATTGACAAATCTGTTCAAGGAAACTGACATTTGAGTCCAAGCTGACTTGCTTGGCATTAAAAAAAAATGTGCCAGTGTGAGGGCTGATGATACCTCTTCTGTAGAAATATGAAATATATCACTGTGCTGCAGAGGACCCAGAAGGAGGGGAGTCAGGCAGGACTGGAAACTGAGCATCCCCTGGCGGGCATGAGAGACAGCCCTGGAAGATGGCGGCACCATGGCCAGCTCCCAGAGCACACAGCCTCCCACCTCAAGCACAGGCACCCCAAGTTCCTAAGATAAGAGAGAGGGAATGACTCCCATGGAGGGCAGACAGCCACCCTGGGCAGCTGCTCCACCTCTGCTCCATGAGTCATGTGTTCCTGTCACTCCAGGTCCCTTCCAGTGCCCCGGGCACCTAGACCAAAGGACACCCTGGGAGGATGAAGCGCTGAGTCCCATGGGATCAGGTAGCGCCAGGGCTGTCACTTCCTGCAGGCTGTGCCTCATGAGGACAGGGTCAGAGGGGCAAAAGTCCCCACATCCGATGGGCTTAGGCTGGGATGCAGAAAGACTCTCTAGTCCCCGCACTCACATTGACAGGAGAAATGGGAGAGTAGCTGGCACGGAGGAAATAAATATTTTGAGCACAGGTGCCAGCTGTTTAGGCAAGGACAGAACTTGGGATACCCTCCTGAAGGAGGTGGTTTTGGGCACAGCCCTCAAACTGGTGGTGAGGAGTCCCTGGCCCAAGTGCCTTCCTTGCCCTGGAGAGAGATTATCCTGCCTGTTCTGAAGCTGCAAGAAAGGACAGGCTCCAGACAACAGGAAGGCCAGAGCAAGCCTAGTGTGGACAGGGCAGCACTGAAGTAGAAGCAGCCCCACCGTACCACTTCACAGTGACCGCAGGCTCAGAGCATGCCCAGCACCTGCACATTCCATCTTCATTTAGCAGTGAACATGGGGCCAGCACCATGCCCAGCACCCATACATTCCATCTTCATTTAATAGTGACCACAGGCCCAGTGCTGTGCCCAGCACTCACACATTTCATCTTCATTTAATAGTGACCACGGGCCCAGCACCATGCCCAGAACCCACATTCCATCTTCATTTAATAGTGACCACAGGCCCAGTGCTGTGTCCAGCACCCACATTCCATCTTCATTTAATACTGACCACAGACCCAGGACTGTGTCCAGCACCCACACATTTCATCTTTATTTAATAGTGACCATGGGCCCAGCACTGTGCCCAGCACCCACATTCCATCTTCATTTAATAGTGACCACGGGCCCAGTGCTGTGTCCAGCACCCACATTCCATCTTCATTTAATTGTGACCATGGGCCCAGCACTGTGCCCAGCACCCACATTCCATCTTCATTTAATAGTGACCATGGACCCAGTGCTGTGTCCAGCACCCACATTCCATATTCATTTAATAGTGACCACAGGCCCAGTGCTATATCCAGCACCCATATTGAATCTTCATTTAATAGTGACCACGAGCCTAGTATTGTGTCCAGCACCCACATTGCATCCCCATTTAATAGTGACCATGGGTCCAGCACTGTGCCCAGCACCCACATTGCATCGTCATTTAATAGTGACCATGTGTCCAGCACTGTACCCAGCACCCACATTGCATCCTCATTTAATAGAGACCACAGACCTAGCACTAAGCCCAGCACCTACACATTCCATCTTCATTTAATAGTGACCACAGGCCCAGTGCTGTGTCCAGCACCCACATTGCATCCTCATTTAATAGTGACCACAGGCCCAGCACCCACATTCCATCTTCATTTAATAGTGACCATGGGCCCAGTGCTGTGTCCAGCACCCACATTGCATCCTCATTTAATAGTGACCATAGGCCCAGCACTGTGTCCAGCATCCACATTCCATCTTCATTTAATACTGACCACAGACCGAGCACTGTGCCCAGCACCCACACATGCCATCTTCATTTAAAAGTGACCACAGGCCCAGTGCTGTACCCAGCACCCACGGTGCATCCTCATTTAATAGTGACCACGAGCCCAGCACAGTGCCCAGCACCCACATTCCATCTTCATTTAATAGTGACTATGGGCCCAGTGCCATGCCCAGCACCTGCACTTTCCATCTTCATTTAGCAGATATTGGCAGGTCCCGCTTCTGCTCTGCCTACAGAGATGGTCCTTTGCTTTCCGGGCTCTAGGGCCTACAGAGAGAGCAAGAATGATATGATGCTGTCTCATCCAGAAGGAGAGCCACTGTGTGTTCTGACCTAGGAGTCCCCTCCCGAGGGAGCTGTGACTTGAGTTCGTGTTTCAAGAACAACACCTCAAGTCACACAGTGCCCAGGGGAAGGATGCACCTGCTGCACAGGCTTGAGCTTGCTGAAAGTAGCCAAGGCTGAGAGGGAATTAGTGGCACTAGGAAGGAAAGAAGCTGGGGATGGTTGAGGTTCTTTTCTATAAGTAGCAGTAGCTCAGTCTGCTCTTTGCAGAGAACCTAGAGAGGATAAAAACTGCTCTGTCAGAGAAATAAATCTTCTAAAGCTAATAACTTAAAATACAGCTACTGGCCGGGCATAGTGGCTCACGCCTATAATCCCAGAACTTTGGGAGGCTGAGGCTGGTGGATCACCTGAGGTCAAGAGTTTGAGACCAGCTGGCCAACATGGAGAAACTCCGTCTCTACTAAAAATACAAAATTAGCCAGGCATGGTGGCAAATACCTGTAAGGCTAGCTACTCAGGAGGCTGAAGCAGAAGAATCACTTGAACCTAGGATGCAGAGGTTGCAGTGAGCAGAGATCTCATGCCATTGCACCCCAGCATGGGCAAAAAGAGTGAAACTCCATCTCAAAAAAAAAACAGCTACTTATTATCTCCCAATACTTCAGGTTGGCAATTTGCGGCAGCTCAGCTATATGGTTCTTTTTGTGCCTCTACTGCTAGGTGGGCAGGGGCTGACCGGTCTGGGGGGCGCCTTGCAGTTGGGCCAGCTCCCACAGTCTCCCCACTCCTCCAGTCGGCTAGCCCAGACTTGCTCCAGACGCAACCAGGTAGGGTTCAGGGAGAGAGAATGCAGGGCACAGAGGCCTTACGGCCAGGCACAGGTCCACAGGTGGCCCCTCCCCACTCCTACCACATGCTATAGCCAGAGCCAGACACAGTCCAGCCCAAAGTCAGAGGGGAAAGAAGCTGCTTTAAAGCCATGTTATAAAGGGTATGGACACAGGAAGGAGAGGAGGACCATGGCCACTTGGGCACTCTACCATAGGCCTATGAGGTGACCCAGCCACCTGCCCTCAAGAAACCTCTGGATTTCCAAAAAGAATTTCAGAATTTCAGTGTGGAATGGATGTCAAAGAACCTCTTCTGAATTCTTGGACCTTTTCTTCTTCTTTCTTTTTTTTTTTTGAGACAGTGTCTTGCTCTGTTGCCCAGGCTCGAGTGCAGTGGTGGGATCACAGCTTTCTGCAGTCTCAAGCTCCCGGGCTCAAGTGACCCTCCTGCCTCAGCCTCTCAAGTAGCTGAGACCACAGGCTCATGTCTCCATGCCCAGCTAATTTTTAAAAATTTTTTGTAGAGATGGGGTCTCACTATGTTGCCCAGGCTGGTCTTGAACTCCTGAACTCAAGGGATCCTCCTGCCTCAGCCTCCCAAAGTGCTGGGATTATACAGGTGTGAGCCACTGCCCAGTCATGCTTGAACCATTTAAAACTCTTGAGACTCTTGCTCAGCTGGACACAGTACATATCTTCTACCAGCTCAGTGATTGGAAACTAGAGCAGTTATCTAATTTGGAGAATGTGACAATTTTTATACTCAAGTGTTTATAAACTAAAATCCATACCCACTGAAAACAAATAACCTGCCTTGGCTAAGAGAAGCTGAGTCACTTGACCAAGGTCATGCAGCTGGTAAATAGCAGAACCTGACCAGCCCACCCACCCTGCTTCTAACAACCACATGACATGATACTATGAGTGCCTATAGCTCAGGAAGAATGGCCCACTGACATTGGAAGCCACACAGTGAACCTCAGCGGCTGAGAGCTGCAGAGTGGGTAACCTGTGAGAAGTTACCCGCTGTCCATCTAGAACAGCGGCATCCAGGAGCAGGGCCTTCAGCTTCTGCACTGAGAAGCTGCTGCTGCTACCTCACCTTCCTTCCCAGCCAGGGACCTGGAAGGCACATGTGTCAGTCACTGTGTTGTCATACCTGTGTTAAAAACAAAAATTAATCAGGAGGCCATCAGGCCCAGGCAGCTTCAGTGCCCTCGACTCCTATGTTGGCAATCCGCAAGCTGACTCAGCATAAACCATCATATTCTAGGCCTATCAGAAACTGCCGACTAACCCCTAACTAGCAACTTTCTACTAGTTAAGCTTAACCAATCAGAAACCACCAACTACTCTCTAACTAGGAACTTTCCACTGGAATGATCCCAATGAAATTACTGCTTCGCTGTAACCAATCGTGTTTTCTTTGCCTTGCTCTCACCTTCACCTTGTAAAAGCCTTCCTCTTGTGCCTTCCTTGGGGTCCCTAACTGCTTTCTATCGGGCACTGCCCAATGCATGAGTTCCTCAAAAAAATCTCTTTAATATTTTAATATGTGCCTCAGTTTATCTCGGAACATCTGCCTGAGGAGTGGTCTCTTCTTGATTTCTCTGTCCAGTTTTTCTCTGTGGGTCATACAGAACTGCAAGACCAAAAAGATAAAGTAGGAAAATCATTCTGTAAGCCATCAAAATATGTATCCTAGATCTTTATTTTTAAAAAGCAGTCTCTAAAGCCAACCCACAGCTACACAGGCCTCTGGGGTGACTCTCGGGTCTCATTTTGGGGTCTCAAGTTTTCCTTCTGCCACAGGTTTCGTTGGCCCTACAAATAAGAGTCAGTTTGCAGATGACAAAGGATGCAAAGGAACACTCACTGAGCACTGTCATGCCTTGGAGTTTAAAAAATGATAATCTCAGCCCATAGTGGGGCTGAGCCCAGGCACCTCACTGAGCCAGCAAGAGAAAGCACCACAGCCCAAGGTGCCAGGGTTTAATGCTGCTGTGCTTCAGTACAATCACCCGGGGACTTTTATCACCTGCAATGCTCAGGCCCCTCCCCAGAGACTCTGGCTTATGGCATGGGGGCAGCCTGCTCTATCATTATTTTGTTAATGTTTCTCAGTTGATTTTAATTTGTAGCCAGGACTAAGAACCACTTTTAGACAAGCAGTTTTCAACTCAACATTGCCTGCATATTGTGTACACATTGAAATTACCTGGGGAGCCTTAGAAAAGGTACTAAGCCTGGTCTTACCCCACTCATTCTGATGAAATTGATCTGAGGTGTGACCTGAGCATCAGGACTTTCAAAAGCTCCCAGGTGATTCCTATGGGCAGTCAAGTGTGAGGCCCAATGTCTTAGGTGACACTTAGGTCAAGAATAAATCTGAGATTGTCAGAAAAGTCTTTTTGTTGTTGTTGTTTTGTTTTTTTTTTTGCAACAGAGCCTCCCTCTGCCACCCAGGCTAGAGTGCAATTGAGCAATCTCAGCTCACTACAATCTCCACCTTCCGGGTTCAACCAATTCTCCTGCCTCAGCCTACCAAGTAGCTGGGACTTCAGGCAGACATCACCACACCAGGCAAATTTTTGTATTTTTAGTAGAGACAGGGTTTCACCATGTTGGCCAGGCTGGTCTCAAACTCCTGACCTCAAGAGATCCACCTGCCTTGGCCTCACAAAGTGTTGGGATTACAGGTGTGAGCCATCATGCAAGTTGAAAGGCCCCACCACCTGGGTGCTTGCTAATCCTAAGGAGTTCTGTGCACATCATTCTCCAAGCTCAAGATCTCTGACCATGGAGACAGCCCAGCATGCAGAGAAACCCTGCAGCTGGCACCACACAACTCAGGCCACCTAGGTCCTCCATGAAGTTGTAGGCTCCTCCCCTGCAGTTCTGCCTTCCTGGATTCCTGTCTCAGCCAGGAGCCAGGCAGTCTTCCCTGGAGACCCTGCCAAAGGCTTTTTAGTTCCTCCTGGTCGATTTTCTGGGTCATGTTACCTTTTCAGGGCATTAGCAGCCTGGCTTCTGAGGAAATTGAGCTCCCAGTCCTCCAGGGGTGGCACAGAGTGGCTGGGAGGCACCGGCAGTCTAAAAGGAACTCCTTAGGCCAAGCACAATGCAGAGGCTCCCACCTGCACATTCCATGATGGGCCCACCAGGACCAAAGCAAGAGAAGCAGGGATGGCTGTTCTGGAGCAAAGGGTCTCATCAGAGTCACCTAGAGGGCTTGTGAAACCCAGGTGGCTGGGCCCCACCCCAGAGTTTGTAATTCTTTGGGTCTGGGTGGGGCCATAATTTGTCTGTCTAACAGGTTCCTGGTTGGGCTGATGCTGCTGGTCCTGGGAGCCTCCTTGGAGAACTGCAGGTCTGGGCTGCTGCTTTCTACTTGCCCAGAGTGTAGCTTTTTCTCTGACATAAGCCTTCTCTGCAAGGCTAACTAAATCACTCTGACTTCTTGTGCTAAAGTTCCCCACCCCAATCTTCAGCAGAGGCAGAGTGGTTAGAGGAAGGACGGAGAGTGGGTAGGGCAGAATAGTGTCCAGGTCCTAATCCCTGGCACCTGTGAGTGCTGTGTTGCTGGAGAAAGGGAAATCAGGCTGCAGACAGAATTAAGGCTGCTAACTAGCTGACCTGAAGATGGGGCAACTGACTAGCCTGGGTCATCCAGGTGGACCCATTGTAATTACAATGGCACTCCCTTCCCAGCTGGAAGAAAGAAATGAGCAAAGAAGTAGAGACTCACAGGTAAGAGGGACGGGGCCACATTTGCTGGCTTTGAAGACAGAGAAAGGAGGCTGCAAATGAAGGAATGGGGGTCTCTCTAGAAGCTGGGAACAGCCCTACCCTGACAGCTAGCAAGAAGACAGGGACCTCTGTCCTACAGCCTCAAGGAACTGACTCTACCCACAGCCTGAATAAGCAAGGAAACAGGAAAAGAAAAAAGGCAAAGGCAAAGTGAGAGCCTGGCTTTTAAAGCTGGGAACATACAGACAAGAGCTGACTTGGTAGAGTTAGAGCTGGGAGCATCAGCCCACGTGGAAGGTCATGGGTGCATGCCCTCCACCCCAAAATCAGAATCCCTCACTAGCAGCTCAGAAAGGTAGCCTGGTCTCCCCCAAAATTTCCAGCAGCAGGCACCTCACCATACTCCAGGTCATTCAGTTCATAAGTTCCTTGCTCACACTGATGAAACTGCTGAAAACTTAGCAGAGGAAGCTTTGTGTCTGCTGCTACAAGGCACATAATCACTAACATGGGCCCATGTTTCCAGCAAGACTCAAACAAGTGCTTCAGTGGCTGTGGGTGGCACAGGCTGGCATGGCCAATTCATCTTCTTGGGTACTGAGGCCTCCCATTTGTGAGTTGGTGTGCTTCCCAAAAACACCTTCTCTGAGAAGCCTCCCTGGGTCAGCTCACCCTGCGTATTTCTCCCTTGTGGCACTCAATTCATGCAGCCTTCATTGCTGTGAACTGTACAGGGCCTCATTCTCTTCTGCACTACCTGTAATGAGACATCCATGTATCAGCACTCTGAATATGTCTGTTGGCACATAGATGATTCCAGTATATTTTTAGGTCAAATAAATCATTATTTAGCAAAATGCATGTTAACTTTTTATGGTAAGAAAATGTTTTACTGTATATGCATATAAATATATCTGGAAGGATGTATTTTAGTATATTAAAGTCTGTATGGGAAGGTAGTATTTTTTTAGTGTTTGTAACTGTTTATTTTTAAATGCTTTTTTATTTTTTCAAAGCATTGTATGCACTGAGTTTAAGAAGTCAAGAACTAGTAAGTCTTAAAGAGACAAGGAAAAACAACAGTAACCCAAAGCAGTCCTGTTTCACCCATTCCACCCCCAGTTCTCCCCAAAGACAAACGTCGTTAATACTTCCAGGGAATTATTCTCATCTTCAATTTCATATTTTTGGTACTATATTCATATTGCAATTTTTTAATCAATTATCTGTAGGCCTTAACCTGAATTCCCCATCAATACCCCTCTTCCCATCTTCCTAACACATAATTACATTGAAGACTGCTTTTCTTCAGTTTTGGGAAATTTTCTTGCATTACGTCTTTGAAGCTTTCCTCCCCTCTGTTCTGCTTCTGGAACTCTTGTAGGTCAGCAGACTGGCCTTGAGACTAAATCCTATCATTTTTTTTAATGCTTTCTCTTCTGTTTCCCTTTGTCTTTTTGTTCTACCTGATTTTAGCTTTTAACCATTCTGTTGTCTTCTTGTTTTATTTTATTTGGGATTTTTTAACTTTTTGCCTGTCTTTAATTTTGAGATTCTTATGGTCTGGTTACTGTCATGGTATTCTGTCCTTGTTTTACAGATGTAACATCTTCTCATATCACTCAGTATAGTAACTGTTGGGAATATTAATTTTTAAAGTTTTCTGTATGTGTCCTACATTGGCTGCACTGCCTCTCTGGCTCCCCTTTTTCTATTTGTCCTGGTTTCTGTGCTTCATATTGGATCCTTTCCTCAAATATCAGCTGACTTTGGGCTGTCCTCATACATAGGACAAGGCCCTGAAAAACTGATTAAAAGTATTACATGTGAGTGTTGAAGATTTCAGATTTGTTGGCTTCACCCGGGGGTCATCAGACTTTTTGGTCCCCCAAATGTTAGTATCCCTGTATTAGTCCATTTTCACACTGCTGATAAAGACATACCCAAGACTGGGCAAGTTACAAAACAAAGAGGTTTACTGGACTTACGGTTCCACATGGCTGAGGAGGCCTCAGAATCATGGCAGAAGGCAAGGAGGGGCAAGTCACATCTTACGTGGATGGCAGCAGGCAACAAGAGAGAGCTTGTGCAGGGAAACTCCCCTTTTTAAAACCATCAGATCTCATGAGACACATTCACTATCATGAGAACAGCGCAGAAAATACTTGCCCCCATGATTCAATTACCTCCCACCAGGTTCCTCCCATGACATGTGGGAACTATGGGAGTTACAATTCAAGATGAGATTTGGGTGGGGACACAGCCAAACCATATCAATCCTGTCTTTTCTGGGGTTACTGACACTCTCCAGAAAGAATCCTGACCATTGCCCAGCAAGTCAGTCTTTAGCTTCCAGGGTGTTAGAACTGCCGGGTCCACTGGGCATTGGTCTGTGTGGGATGGGGTGAGATACCTGCTCCACAACGCGGCTGTAGAACAGCTGGCTCTGCTCCCCCTGTGGCTCATATGGGGGCCCTAGCAGCTGTCATTTGCTACCCCACTTCTGGTAGAGGAGACGGTGCAGTGGTTTTTCCAGCCAGATTACCTGGGGGTGGATTCTGATTGGAGCAAAAGGTCAGTGTGAGCTTGTGTAGCTATGCTTTTTGAGCACTGGTTTTGCTGTTCCCAAAGAGGTAGTTGAACCCTTCAGATCCTTGTAAGTCACTGAAGCTGAGGTCTTCATCACCATGAACTCCATTTCAACTAAGCCTCCTTGAAAGAGGGCACTGATAGAGTAAGGGATTGCTGTGCCAGCTGGGGTCAGGCCAGGGATTGCCTCTTTGCTTAGCAAGCTCACTGGATGTCCATCAGATGGCCCTGGGGGGAAGCTCTGTCTCCTGGGATGAGCTGTCATAAGGCAGAGGGCTTGTGTTCCCAGGGCCTTTCTGCTTTTCTGGGAACACAAGCCCTGCACATACTCTAGATACTGCCCACAGTGTGAGGCAGGAAATGGGTTTGCATCTAACTCAGAGAAGGAGGGAGAGGTGAGGGACAAAGGTGTGTCAGCCTGAAAATGTATCCACTGCACCCTGTTCCACAGTTGGGTGTGTGGATTTACCTATTTTCTGGATATTGGCCAAATTGATCATACAGAAATAAATCCAAATAAAAGGTCCCCCTTGGACAAGCCTCCCTCATTCATTCAAGGATCTACCACTTCTGAGTTTACAGATCTTCTCAACTGGTGGAAGATGCCAGCATTAATTTCAGTAATTCAGATACAAAGGGGCTGGGCACGGTGGCTCATGCCTGTAATCCCAGCACTTTGGGAGGTTGAGGCAGGAGTATCGTTTGAGCCCAGGAGTTCAAGACCAGTCTGGGCAACATGGCAAAATCCCATCTCTACTAAAAATACAGAAAATATTAGCCAGGTGTGGAAACACACCTGTAGTCCCAGCTACTTAGGAAGCTGAGGTGGGAGAATTGCTTGAACCCAGGAGGAAGGGGCTGCAATGAGCTGAAATCACACCACTGCACTTCAGCCTGGGTGACAGGAGACTCCATCTTAAAAAAATATGAAGGGATGAGTGCTGGGGGCTGGAGGACACATAACTCACTCTGATTGTGGGGACTAACAACTGTCAAGCGGTGACTGATCTGGACTTTGAACAACATGTGTAGTGATGAGAAGAAGAGAATGTTGAGGGAAAAAAGGAAGAAGGAGGAAACAAAAGAATATGGAATATTCTGACTCCCAGGCCACGTAGACAAATGCTTTCCTATTACCTTTGGTCACAGAAAAGCATTTGTCTGTGTGGCCTGGAAGTCAGACAATCCGGAGGAGAAGGAGAAGGAAGCAGATGGAAGATGGAAATAGAGAGGCAGCACAGGGGAAGTTAGCAGAAAGCCAGGGATCTGGACGAAGGAACTCAGACTTTAGGCAATGGCAAATCTCCAGGAGTGTTAAACAGGGATGTGACTTGTAAAGACCTGCTGTTTCCAGAGCAAATTCCTGCAGTTGGAGGACAGATTGGAGAAGGATGATGCTGGAGGCTGGGAGGCTCATTAAGGGACTGGGGAAGCATCTGTACAAGAAATGAGAAAGATGGGAGCGGCAGATGAGAGATGGCAGATGTGGAGCAATGAGGATGAGGACTGGCAGAACAGAAGAGGAAGAGGTATTGTCAAAACTTACTTTGTGTCCAGATTTGGTGACAAGGGTAATAATGAAACCAGTAGCCAAGATGTAAAGTCCAGGAAGTGTAAAGGAATTGAGGTGGAAAGACAGTTTGATGAAATACATTGAGTGCGACACAGAGGCCACCAATAGGCAGGTGGAAGTGGAGCTCACAGCTGAGGAGAAATGCAGGTGTCAATCCTTGCTAGGAATAGTCCTTGTGCTGATGGCACTCAGGCCACAGAGTCAGACAATAACCAAGAAAAGGTGGAGAGTGGGTGGAAGAGAGAGGGTTGCAAATGATGCCCTGTTCTATTGCTGAGTAACAGATTACCCTGACATCTGGCAACTTGAAATCACAATCATCTATTATCTCTCAGTTTGAGGGTACCTGCGAGCAGCTTAGCCAGATGGCTCTGGCTCAAGACCTCTCATGAGGTTGTAGCCACACTGTCAGCCGAGGCTGCCATCATCTGAAGGCTCAACTGGGGCTGGGCATCAGCCTTTAAGCTCCCTCACATGGCAGCTGCTGGCAAGAGCCCTCAGTGGCTTAT